CCTCTGATCCCCTTGCAGGGACCCTCCCCAAGCCCACCCTGTGGGCTGAGCCAGGCTCTGTGGTCGCCCGGGGAAGGCCAGTGACCATCTGGTGTGAGGGGCCCCTGGAGGCCCAGGAGTACTATCTGCATAAAGAAGGACATGCACAGCCTTCCAGAGAGTCTCCGCTGGAGCCAGAGAACAAGGCCAGGTTCCCCATCCCGTCCATGACCGAGTATCACGCAGGGAGATACCAATGCTACTATCACAGCCCTGCTGGGTGGTCAGAGCGAAGTGACCCCCTGGAGCTGGTGGTGACAGGTGAGAGGACACTCCGGGGTCCCAGCCCCAGGCTCTGCCCTCAGGGAGGGGGTCTGCTCCCAGGGGTCCCTCTCACAGCCCAGCTGGGGGTGGTGTGGAGGAGGGAGCCATGAACACCTGCCTCCTTCTCTCCTAGGATTCTACAGCAAACCCTGGTTCTCAGCCCTGCCCAGCCCTGTGGTGACCTCAGGAGGGAACGTGACCCTCCAGTGTGGCTCAGGGCAGGGATATGACAAGTTTGTTCTCACCAAGGAAGGAGGACACCACCTCACCTGGACCCTGGACGCACAGCGACAACCCAGTGGGCAGGTCCAGGCCCTGCTTCCCATGGACCTGGTGACCTCTGGTCAGAGGTGGACATTCACATGCTACGGCTATTACAGGAGAACCCCCCAGCTGTGGTCAGTTCCTAGCGACCCCCTGGAGCTCCAGCTGTCAGGTGAGAGCCTTATTCTTCACTCAGTGTCTTTTGAGAACCCAAACGATCTTCTATGATCCCTGCTCTCAAGGGAGCCCCAGTGGGGAGGGCGGCTCCCAGGAGCTTGGACACACTGAGCCAGAGACCAGAGTGACCTGCAGGCAGGACGGGGCAGGCAGGGGTTGGCAGGATCCAGCCCTCAGCCCAGGCTCCTCTTCCTCCAGGGGTGTCCAGGAAGCCCTCCCTCCTGACCCAGCAGGGCCCTGTCCTGGCCCCTGGAGAGAACCTGGCCCTCCAGTGTCACTCAGACGTCACCTATGACAGATTCACTCTGTCCAAGGAGGGGGCACAGGACCTCCCCCAGCGCCCTGCCCAGCAGCCCCAGGCTGGGCTCTCTCAGGCCGACTTCCTGCTGGGCCCTGTGAGCAGCTCCCACGGGGGTCAGTACAGGTGCTATGGTGGACACAGCCTCTCCTCTGAGTGGTCAGCCCCCAGTGGCCCCCTGGACATCCTGGTCTCAGGTGAGGAGCCCAGAGGGTGCAGTCAGGGACCCAGACTCTGCACAGCCCTGTTGGGGAGCCCCAGGAGGTGATGGCCCAGGGTGATGTGGGGTCTCAGGAGGGAGAGAGACGGGGAGGGGCAGAGAGGACAGAGACAGGGGACACAGGGACAGGAAGAATCAGAGACAATGAGACAGACAGAGAGCACAGGGTCCTCAGAGAGAGGCCCTGGGAGGTCTCAGCTCAGAACAAGCTGGGGCCACCCTCACCCTCCTTCCTCTCTCTAGGACAGCTCCCTGTCACACCCTCCCTCTCAGTGCAGCCTGGTCCCACAGTGTCCTCAGGGGAGAACGTGACCCTGCTGTGTCAGTCACAGATCAAGATGGACACTCTCCTCCTGTGCAAGGAGGGGGCAGCTGACACCCCAGCCGCCATGTTTAAGATCAGAGCTTCAAGCTCCACTCCCAGGCACAATCCTCCATGAGGGCTCTGAGCTCAGCCCCTGCTGGGCGGGGCACCTACAGGGATGGATTCTGTCCCTCCCACTTCTCCTGGGAGGCTGGCTCTCTGGGAAGGCCTTTCCCTCCAGCCCTAGGCTCCCTTCTGATCAGGGGAGCTGCCTGTCCGAGCACCAATCCTGGTTCCTGGCCTCTGGGTCCTGGGCAGCGGGTCCTGGAGCGGGTCCTGGGCAGCGCTCTCTGGGCCTGCACCGCTTCTCTCAGTGACTGTGTCTGTGAGGACGGAAGCACCAAGGTGGGGAGCAGGGCCCTCCTCAGCCGTCCCAGGGCTCGGCTTGGAAAGCGGAGACACAGCATTTTGGAAACAACAAAGATTCATCAAACTCTCCTGGTTGAGAACTTCCCCTCCGTGGGTCACACAAAATCACTCAGGTTTTACTCTGAGCCACCGCTACACACAGCTCTGCATGACCCCTCGCCTCCAGCAGGTGGGACCTCCAGGAAACAGGCCCCTGGTGGGGAGCAGCGGCCAGCGGGGGGTCCCCTGAGCAGCGCTCATTTCTCATTTCTGAGCCGCGAGATGCAGCCCTCACCCCCCCTGCAGGGCCCCTGGGCCCTCTCAGGTCACCGTGGAGGCTGCTCAGGCCACAGTGGGGTGTGGTGGGGTGAGGCTGGAGCCCCACCGGACACAGTGTCCCAGGCAGGGATGCCACTGGGCTCCTCCAGGGGTCACCTGCTGGCCTCAGGGCACACCTGAGACTAAGGAGGGCCCTGCTCCCTGTAGCCTCTGCAGCAGGACTGTCTCCACTCTGTTTTCTCTCCCTTTCTAAAACTTTTGAAGCTGAAAATTTAGCTTGAGATATTTGGATTTATAGCTTAAAAAAAAATTCTACTCCAATTTCCCTGGGTCTAGATTATATTCCTGCATTAATTGTGGGGAGTACCTTCTTCCTACGACCAAGTCCTCTTTCCCAGACACTTGGCTTAGAAGTTGATGAAGGAACATGAGAAATACTGCCAAGTTGAAATGGGGTCCATTCATGGGTGATTCTCAGAATTGTTTGACTATCTTAGGAATTTATAAGGCCAGTCTTTATTTTCTAAATAGTAATTAAGTATAGAAAGCTGTTAGTTTGGTCTATTAATTTTTATGTCATATTAACTTAGGATTCTCTCCCTTTTGATGGTTTTTAAATCTCTTGTGATTAACTGATAAAATTTATGTCAAACAAAATCAGATGGAAATTTCACTTCTTGACTTCCTAATTGCACACCGATTTCTCTTGCTTCGATACATGTGTGTATGTGTGTATGTGTGTGTAGTTACACATATCTACAATTATATAAATATCTAAATATTAATCCCTAATTATATAATTCCATTATCTGATTCTCACTGTATAAGAATATACATATTAGATTCACATTCTTAATGTCATTCAGCTGGTGGGGTTTTATGTGTTGTTATGGTTACTAGGCTGCACAGATTTATATTTCTACAAAGTATAGATGCTTACGGGAGCCACAGGTAGGACCCCACTGGAGCACTGCACCTCTTCCCTGGTGTGTGAGGCACTGGTGCAGGGGTCTCTGGCTATACAATGATTAGTTAATGAGGCTGAATTGACGAGGACACCCAAGGGGAACTGGCTAGAGAGGTGCAGGGGGTGGCCAGAGACTGTCTCCTTTCTGCTCCTGACCATCAGGCACCCCAAACCACCCCTCACCCCGGCCCTGGGCACTCAGTTAGGGAACCACTGAACCTCCTCTCCAGGGGTCGTAGCTCCATGGTCTAAGGTCCCAGACCCCACAGAGCACACAGGGCGGGGGAACCCTGAACCAGGGACCACTCTCCCCACCAACCCTGAGCTCTGGGCTCAGCTGAACCTTGCTCCAACGTGACTCCGACACAGTCCTGACCCCCAGAGCACAGAGAGGGTGAAGGACCAGGGAGAGGAGCAGAGGGGACCCTGAGGACCAGGAAGGGCTCAGAGGGGCTCAGAGAGTCCTGTGGTGAGAATGAGGCGAGGAGCTGGGTCCCAGGCAGGACGGGGCTCCTCAGGTCACAGGTCCCCTCCTCCACTTGGTTCTCAGGAACCACTGAGACCATCAGCCCAGCGCAGAGCAGCTCAGACCCCAGCTCAGGGGAGTCCGGAGGATTCTCAGCTATGGGACTGGACTCTGAAGGTCACGTCCTGGCCAGGGGAGGTGGCTGCCCTGGGTGGACATGTGGGGATGCTGGCCTCCCTGACCTCTGACCTCTGTGTCCATTTCCCAGCCTCACCTCCCCAGGATTACACCGTGCAGAACCTCATCAGGATGGGCGTGGCTGGCCTGGTCCTGCTGGTCCTCGGGATCCTGCTGTTTCAGGCTCAGGACAGCCAGAGAGGGACCCGAGATGCAGCCAGGAGGTGAACAGGAGGAACAGGGCACACTCAGAGTGCAGAGCTGGTGACGAAGGACCCTCAGGAGTCTGAAGACCACCTGGACAGGTGGGGCTGCACCTGAGACTGTCCTGGCAGCAGAGGTGACTGGGTGCAGGACCAGCTGGATGCTGGCTGAGAGCCTTCCCCACCATGCTGTGCCCACCCAGGGCTGGCCCACCGCTCTCTGCAGCCCTCCACACGCCAGTCCCCACTGGGAGCTGTGAAGATGCCCCTGAAACATGGGACATGCAAGCCACAGGCTGGTGTCTGAGGGACAGTATAAGGGGCACTGATTCTGTGGACATGACTGTGAGAAAGTCACATTAAAACCCTGAGAGTCCTGCTGTGTGTTTGCTCTTACTGTCCACGTCCCCTCCTCCCACCCTCCACTTGCCGAGGCACCACCACGTCACCAGGTCGTGGTGCTAAATCCAAACATCTCTGTTTACTGCTGGAGTGTGGAGAAGTATCGACCCTCATCGTCACCTAGAGTCACCTTCTGACATGGCTCCCTGGGTCCTGCAGGGTTTCTCTCTTCATGGAGTCACTAGGTCGTGTGCATTGCCCATGGTGACATTGTGAACAGAGCCATTTCAATGAAGGGACTTGAGAGTCCACTGATAGTGCAGAGACTACCAATGAAGGTAAGGCACCCGCCAGGCCTTCCCTTCACTGGTAGTGCATGTGGTTGATGGCGTGCACTTTCCTGCCCCAGGACCTTGGCTTAGCATTTCAAGGCAGCTGGGCTGCAGGCAGAGCCCCTCAGCGTGGGCATGAGCAGCTGCTCTCTCCCTCCACCTTGAGGGGAACTCCCAGGGCAGAGCGTGGGGCGGGTGCTCTTTGCTCTCCTCCCTGCTCTGTCCCAGCCCTGGTCCTGCCCACCTGGTCTCTGCGTGGTCCTGCAGACCTGTGTCCGTCCCTCTGCAGGTGGGCTGGTGGCCATCGTCACCCTGGATTCCTGCACCTGAGCTCAGGTGCTCAGTGGCTCTGCTGCCTGGTCCTGGGCGGCGTCTCTGAGGTCCTGGGTCTGGGGTCTGTGTCTGATGGTAACTGG